TGTGGAGATTTCTCAAAAAGCTGGGATTGGAAGTCCCTTTTATTCCAGCTATTTCACTTCTAGGCATATTCCCAGAAGAACTGAAAGCATCATACCACAGTGATATATGTGCACCAAACAACCCAAGTGTCCATCAACTGAGGTTGGATAAAAAGTTGTGGTATTTCTATTCAATGGAGTATTATTCAGCTATAAAGAAGGATCACATTGAGATATTTATCAATAAATGGGTGCAGCTTGAGACCATACTCATAAGTGAAATAAATCAATCTCGCATGTGTGAATACCAAATAGTTTCCCTAATGTAAGTAATGAGTCGAATATATAAAAATATGTGGTAATCATGATTCCCCATTATGTGGCCTTGAAGCCTTATAAAGTTTCCACTTATTAATTGGAAAGGCTTTATTCTGGGCTTCTTGATATGGAAATATTGGAAGCTATAGTATATGAAGTTTTATTCAAATATTTCAAGGAAAAAGACAGACACTATGGTAACTACTATTAAGTCGGGTTATTTGGTGGTGAAGCACTAGGTTGCTGAAACAGTCATGCTTTGACCTGTATTGTTATATTGTTATGTCCTGTTTTATCTCAATCTCTGCCTTATTCATTAAAAAAATATTTAGTTATTTCTCATGTTTTTTTTTTTTAAATTAAGGGGAAAATTTAAAAAATTTAGCAGGATATATTATGGTAACTTTTTTTGATTTCCTATTAACTTGATTTGAAGTCCTGTAATGCTCCCACTATCTTGTTTTGACTGATTTGACTCTGTTCCATTCTGTATAATAGTATCAAGTTTGAGGGTATAGGCAACTACTATGAAGGCAATAAGATTCACTAAGATGCCCATTCTGGTTTGACTATTGTCTCCTTTGGAAGTCCTGTAATGTTTACAATGCTTAAGTTTTATTGGTCTTGTTCTCTACTGTTTTGTTCAACTTTATAATATCTAATGAGATAGACAATTCTTTGTAAGGAAACAAGAGACATTGTTGATAACCATTGTTGATAACCTTGTACTCTGTTTTACATCATGTGCTATGTCTATCCTTGGTTTTGACTGACAGCTTTGTTTTGCCATATTTGATTTTATTCTCTCCCCCCAAAAAAGTAATAAGAACTAAGGAGTAATAAAACCCAAAATGTGTAAATTTTGTTGTAAAAAAGAGAGGGAAAAAGAGCTCTAAAGGATACAACAGCAAGTATGTTTAGGGGTGTTAAATAGCTGACCATATTAATGTTTTTGTTTGGATCATTGAACACAACTGTTTGCAGTCTCACTGTTTGAATGTCCACTTTGTATGCTTTGATACTGTAATTTGAGCAACTATCTCTAAGATGATAATATGTAATCTATTAACTGGTGATTTCTTACTGTTTTTTTTTTTGTAGTTCTGTATTACTTGTACTCTTACACTGCTTTGTTTTGTTTTGTTTTGTTTTTTCTCTTTTTCCTTTTAAATAAAATAACCAAGCAGACAGTCATAAAAATAAGACTTTTACATGGACCATATCAAAAATAAAATAAATCTTGAATCCTAAGAACATTTTACAGATCAAAATTGTGTATGTTCTTATCCTATACACATCTCCCCAACCACTTTTTTTTCTCATAGATACCATGCACATAATAAGGAACTGAGTTATAGTTTGCTTTGGTGAGTTGTTAATCTGATTCCTTTGTGGTACAGAATCTTCACTGACCCCTTGAGAGTATCATAATAAGAAATCAGTTCTAGAAACTTACTCTTGGGACAGAGTAATTTTATTACAGTCTGAACACTCCACGTATCTCTAGGCTCAATAAATCTTGGAGGGATTGTGTTCTCACATGTGCATTTTGTGTTTGTAATGAGATCCCTCAGCTCACTGAACCTCAGATAAAAGATGTATTTCATATTACACTTTTGCTTTGAAAACTGGGAAAGCTAGATACCTTGATCTATGTGAAGGTACTGAGAGATTGTACTACTGGATGAATTGCATGTTTTCCCAATAAAATAATTCACTTTTGATACATAAATATTTTCATGAAGCAGTAGTAGAGAATTGTTTTTCGATGGCTGTAGCAAGAATCTCTGACATGAATACATGGAGCAAATTTTGAGAACTTCGGTTTCCCTGCAGGATCAAGGTGTGTGTCTACTTCTCTGACAGCAGCGTGACATATCTAACAGCGAGAAGCTGCACTGTGATGTCTAGAAGGTCATCACCAGTGCCAGCCCATGTACAGCAGACTGGCTCTACACAGGGCCATTCACTGTCACATGCTCTCTCGTTGGCTGTGCCATCCCTCTTTCTTTCTATTGATCTTACTTTTTCATTTCTTTGTGGCTTCCATCCCACAGTCCGTGAGAGTGATTCCAGGTTTTGATCTAACAAGCTCTGGAGTGCAGGCCTCACTGAGGTTTCTGTGACTCTGCAGCATTTGCTAGAGCAAAGAACTTCTGGTTTCTCCATTTTTTCCTTGTCTTCATGCACACGAACTTATATACAGGGATTTCCAGGAGATAAAGGTAATAAGGGCACATACAATACAATGTGCAGGAATTTTTTGTGGCAGAATATTGGACATGAATATCTACATTCTCTTCTGTCCTGACAGCAGGCGCTGAGGCTGCTGTGGGTTACTCATGCCCTTGGAACTCTGCACTTGCAGCGCTGTATTTGTAGTTCATTCAGCGATTGTAGTTCTGATTTGCTTCTTATGAACCTGATACTACTGGACGGTGATTTCCTTATGGAACAAAGCGGCTGCAGTGTCCTAAATTCCCCACCTTAAGTGCCAGAACTCCTATCCCTTTCTTGATTTTCATATTTAGGGGCACAAATATTTACACAATTAAGCAGTGTTAAACATGTAATGTATTTTCATTATTCAAGCCATGGTGAGAATAAAAATGAACAAAATACATAGAATCTTCATAACAACACGTTATATTTCTGTCTCCTCACATTCTCTGCTCTTTCCACAAGAAACTCCAGATTAGTTTACTCTGTCGAGTATAAGTTTGTCTTTTAAAGGTTGTTTATCATTTTCATTATTAATTAGCCATGGGAAATACTGAGTTTAAGACCTGGGTGATTTCTTACACTCAGGAATATTTAAGGACTGTAATATATAAATGGTCACTGTGAACTTCCAGAAGTGTATAGAAATACTTACAGAAGAATTCAAGCACATCTGCTTATTTTTTCTTTGTTTTTTGTTCTGCAAGAAATCTATTACATTAGGAAGATGTTTCTCACATCTACGAATGCAGTGCTTCAAGTAACTCTCTTAAGGTATAATGGCAAAATATTATTTCGGTGTTGTCTTTTAAAATTTAATATTCTATGTCAAAAGAAACTCTTTTTTTCCTCTGTACTTTGTGCAAGTCTCTTTTAGTTTTAGAAATAATTATGAACAAAAGATTTTGTTCTACGTCTCTGGTTCTCATCTTCTGAAAGCTTCCAAGTGGCAGTCTTCCCAGTTTTCTCAATGTTCAGGAGTCCTACCCACATGTAGTATACCTAGACATGTTCTCTCCAAGAAGTGACTAAAAGCCTGGATCATTTTGTAACATCTTACAGTGTTCACATTTCCATGAGTATTACAATGAGTTAGAAGATAATCAGTATGAAGACATTAAGCTATCATTCTAAACAGCTGAGAAAAAGAGGACTCCGGCCCTGTACTCCCTGGACTCAAATCCTGACTCTGAAATTTTCTAAACCTCAATTCCTTTATGGGCAAAACAGGAAAGTAAGAGGTTCTATGTTGAGCATTTTTCATTAATTAAATGCTATAGCATATGTAAAGCATACAAGTAATTTGCAGTCCATAAGGAATATAAGGATACAGAAGAGGGAAGAAGGAAAAAAAAAGAAGTAAGGAGAAGACAGAACTGATGAATGGGAAATCATTATCTTTTCTGGTTGACTTTTCTAAATGAAGAATGGAAAATTTTGTACCCTGACACCATATACAACACCTAAAACAGCTTCGTCAGGGACCTAGTTCATGGTGAAATGTATGCAACAAATAGATCCCAGTGGTTCTTTTGGGAAATAATACAGCATACTTTCTCATTTCTTCAGCCAGCATCTCAACTGTCATGAGTGTCAACAGTGGGAAGAAAAGGGTTTCCCCGTTTTCAACATTCATTCAGGAAAACACAGAGGGTCTTCTTCACCCTGCACATGAGTTGGTGAATGAGTTTGGAGTCTGATTAATAAAGGCACACTAGTTCACTGCTAGTGATCAAGAAAGTCAAATTTCAGGGAGGGAGGACTGAAGACTCCTCTTATGAACACTGTTGTTGAGAACTTGAGTTTTAGTAGCATGTGCTTCACTGGGGTTCACAAGGTTAGAGCTCCTGCCCCCCCCCCCAATTTACCAACTGAGTGTAAGAGGAATACATGTTGGAAGAGTACTTTTCCTATGTTCTTACTCTGTTTTATTGGAGACACTTTTCTTCACAGAGCAGTAAATAGACAACTGACTCCCAGTCTCATGGTCACCCTGACTCCAGCTAAATTGAGAGAGTTTTCAGTGCTCTGTGCTATTGTTTTATGCCTGCCCTGTGTCCACAGTTCTAGGAGCTGCCTAGAGGTCTTAGATTTGAAAAACCTGTGGAAATTGTAAGTGAAGATGTATTTATCAATTATTTATTTTGTTTAATTTTGAGCAAATGGCTAACAGCAATTTTCTCACATAAAAATTATTTTTACTACCAAATTTGCAGGATAAAATCTTTTAAGTCATCTTCTAAGTCAATCAAGGGACAGTTTTGTGATTTCACATTTGGGCCAATTTGTAGAACACCTCAGAAGATTTTGTTTGAAGGGGAAACTGTATGAGGACCACAGATAATGAAAACTTTGACTCAGTTTTTCTGTTCTGCTAATCTCTTATGCAAATTTGCTATCATTTGTAAGGGTTAGGGAAGAATACTGAAGGTCCATTTTGATGCAATTCTTATTTTCAATTTTCCAGAAATCTCCAAAGAACAATGGCTAGCAGAAATCATTCCACAGTGCACATGTTTGTCTTAGTAGGCTTGAATCAGCAGCCAGAGCTCCAGCTGCCCCTCTTCCTCCTCTTCCTGGGGATCTACTGGGTAACAGTGATGGGGAACCTGGGCATGATCCTTCTGATTGCTGCCTGCCCTCTGCTTCACACTCCCATGTACTATTTCCTTGGCAGCCTGTCCTTCATTGATCTCTGCTATTCCACTGTCATTACCCCCAAAATGCTGGTGAACTTCCTGGGGAAGAATACAATCCTCTATTCTGAGTGCATGGCCCAGCTCTTTTTCTTTGCAGTCTTTGCAGTAGCTGAGGGTTACCTCCTGACTGCCATGGCATATGATCGCTACATTGCCGTCTGCAACCCACTCCTCTATCATGTGATCATGCCACCTCGGCTCTGCTCTCTGCTGGTGCTGGTCTCCTTCACCCTGGGCATTCTGTCTGCTGTGGCCCATACAAGCGCCATGATGAAATTAGACTTCTGCCAATCTCACATCATCAGTCATTACTTCTGTGATGTTCTTCCCCTGCTCAATCTCTCCTGCTCCAGTACACACCTCAATGAGCTTTTACTGTTTTTGATTGCTGGGTTTAACACACTGGTGCCCACCCTCGCTGTTGCTGTCTCCTACACCTTCATCTTCTGCAGTGTCCTTCACATCCGGTCCTCAGAGGGACGGTCTAAAGCTTTTGGAACTTGCAGCTCTCATCTCATGACTGTGGGCATCTTCTTTGGCTCCATCACCTACATGTATTTCAAGCCCCCTTCGAGTAACTCCCTGGAGCAAGAGAAGGTGTCCTCCGTGTTCTACACCACAGTGATCCCCATGCTGAACCCTCTGATCTACAGTCTGCGGAACCAGGATGTGAAGAAAGCACTCAGAAGGGTCTGGATGGGAAGATGAACCTTGTTTTAAAAAGCTGGTAGATGGGAGATCAATAGTTCAGATGAAAATATAATCTTTGTAATAGTTGGGATTATTTTTGGACTTGCTGAAGAGCCAAACTAGTGCCTACTATAAGCTAAGTGAGTGCTCTGTTAGTGACCTCTCCTCTTAGCCTTTTAGTATTGCTGTCTAATCCACAGGAGACTCAAAATTACTAATAAAATAAAAAAATTAAATACATATTAACATATTTTAATGTGTTTATATTTTGACAGGAACATTGAGCTTTAGATTGTTTAACTACATGGAGTATGAAACAAAAGGAATAAGAATTTAGATTTCCTTCAGAGTTATTCTTTTCTTCATATCTGAGCTTGCTTACTGAATGGCTGCTGTGAGTGAGATGCTGAATTTTCCATTGGTATAAATATGGGGAGACATGCACTTGTTCCTCAGTATCAGTCCTTATCCTTGGGAGGAAAAGATAAATGCATTTAGAAAAGGAGAAAAGTGGGAAAAATGTTTTTCAAAAAAGAATGATACCTTTAATCATGCTCTTACTTGTTTTATTCAAGATATTGAAAATCTCTTTATTTTAATTTTTTTCACTCATCCTCATGGAACACCACTGTCTTTCTAAATAATAAAACAAAAGACATGTGATCCCAAACCCATTTTGATTTATTATTGTATAAAGCTGTTAATTAAAGTGTTGATTTATTATTGAATAAAAACTGTTAAGCAGTTAGGAAAAACCAGTTGGGAACATGAGAATTAAAAGAAAATATGCCATTAACTGCAGGTTACAAAATCACTTAACTCAAAATTTATGAAGACTTAATGATAAACTAATGACAATTCAGTATGGTAACAAAATTTTAAGCTAACAAAAGGCAGTACACAAACTAGTTAAAATTTGTGAACATTTCTTACAGTATCAGAAGTTAGATTAAATAAATGTAATCATATTTTACAAATATGAAAATCCTGTACGAGAGAAATATTCAAGTAATTTTTGATTAATTTTACTGGTACATTTAGATGAACGTAATGATCGCATCCATCAGGGGGAGTTTGTACCTGTGCAGGGTATATTTTGACTCTTACCCACTATCCTCTCTCTTCCCTTCAGCTCCTCTTTACATCCTTATTTACAAAAGCTTTGATTCCATTTTTTTCTTCTGTTCCATTTTTTCTTTTGCTTTCCTTTCTTTCCCCTTTCTTCATCCTGTGTTCTCCTTACCATTTTAACATTTTATTCCTGTTTCCATTTTCTATTTACATTTTGGTATTTATTTACTCTTTCAGATTCTCACGTCAGAGAAACAATACAAATCAGGATTGGAGCAAAAGATACGTCTGGGTTTTTGGGGGCAGAATAACTCAGCATTTTAAGATAGTGGTTTCCTGCGATATATGTTCATCCGTGTTTATAGCCGCACAACTTGTAAGAGTCAGATCTTGGAAACAACCCAAGTGCCCATCAACTGAGAAAAAAAGTGTTATTTTTACACTATTAAGTAGTACTCAGGAATAAAGAATGATAAACTTGAGGCTTTTGTAGGTAAATAATGAAATTAGAAACTATATTCAGAGAAATAATTCAGACTCACAGGTATAAAAGCCATATTGTCTTACTAATGTGAGAAACCCAAAAAGAAAACAGGATCCAAAAGTTACAATTGGTATAGTGAAAGGGAAAGAAATCACTCAAGGTGAAATTATATTGTTTGATCAACATTGCATAAAGGTATCTCGTAACCTGAGTATCTATTTTGAAAATAACCATATGCAGTAGAACACCTGTTGTTAAATTTCTATCATGTTGGTTTGAAACCCTGTATTGCTTTTGTTGCTGTTGTTTTGCTTTTGTGGTTGTTTTCTTTGTTTGCTTATTGATTTTTCTGTGTTTTTTTCTCACTAAAATTAAAATATATAAATATTGGTTCCTTCTAAGTGTTTAAAAAATTATTTAGTGCAAATTCAATAAAATCACCAAAGGTCTTTCATGGTTTGGCTTTAGAAAATGTTTCAATCTTTTTGAAGAATCAGTACACATGAATTAATGAGGTACAGTTAATGTACATTAAACTGCGTGAATGTAAAATACCCAGTTTCACTAGTGTGGACATGTGTGTAAACCTTTGTAGCCCATACCACATTCAGCATGACACACATTTCATTCTGTCTCTTTCTTTCAGCCTCTCTCCATAAGCAGGAATTAATTTGCATTTTTGTGAGAATGAAGTGATAGTATTTTATAGGGTTCTATGTAAATGCAATCAAGTATGTATTAATTTGTACTTGATTAAAGTACTCAAATAGTGGTTTAAATATTCACTCATAAATTCAGTTTTACTGCTTAATTGAATTGTATTCTATGAATATACTACAATATATTCATTTCATTGTTGTTAATTATCTGAGTATTTGAGGCTTTATCAACTCTTCCATTTTTTAAAAGTTTTATTTAAAAGGAAAAAGAGAAAAAACAAAACAAAACAAAGTGGTATAAGGGTACAAATAATACAGAACTTCAAAAAAAAAAAACAGTAAGAAATCACCAGTTAATAGATTACACATTATCATCTTAGAGATAGTTGCTCAAGTCACAGTATCAAGGCATACAAAGTGGACATTCAAACAGTGAGACTGCAAACAGTTGTGTTCATTGATCCAACCAAAAACAATATGGTCAGCTATTTAACACCCCTAAACACACTTGCAGTTGTATCCTTTAGAGCACTTTTTTTCCTCTCTTTTTTTACAATAAAATTTACACATTTTGGGTTTTATTACTCCTTAGTTCTTATTACATTTTTTGGAAGAAAATAAAGTCAAATATGGCAAAACAAAGCTGTGAGGCAAAACCAAGGATAGACATAGTACATGATGTAAAAACAGAGTACAAGGTTATCAACAATGGTTACCATGCTGCCTCTTGCTTCCTTAAAAAGAATTGTCTATCTCATTAGGTATTATAAAGTTGTACAAAACAGTAGAGAACAAGACCAATAAAACTTAAACTTTGTAAACATTACAGGAATTACAAAGGAGATAATAATCAAACCAGAATGGGCATCTTAGTGAATCTTATTGCCTTCAAAGTAGTTGCCTATACCCTCAAACTTGATACTATCATACAGAATGGAACAGAGTCTAATCAGTCAAAACATGATAATGGGAGTATTACAGGACTTCAAATCAAGTTAATAGGAAATAAAAAAAAAGTTACCATAATATATCCTGCTAATTTTTAAAAATGTTCCACTTAATTAAAAAACTATAAAAAATAATTAAATATTTTTTAATGAATAAGGGAGAGATTGAGATAAAAGAAGACATAACAACATAACAATACAGGTCAAAGCATGACTGTTTCAGCAACCTAGTGCTTCACCACCAAATAACTCGACTTAAAATAGTTACCATAGTGTCTGTCTTATTCCTTGAAATATTTGAATATAACTTCATATACTATAGCTTCAAATATTTCCATATCAAGAAGTCCAGAATAAAGCCATTCCAATTAATAAATGAAAACTTTATAAGGCTTCAAGGCCACATAATGGGGAATCATGATTACCACATACTTTTATATATTTGAATCATTACTTACGTTAGGGAAACTATTCGCTATTCACACATCCGAGATTGATTTATTTCACTTATGAGTATGGTCTCAAGCTGGGCCCATTTACTGATAAATATCTCAATGTGATCCTTCTTTATAGCTGAGTAATACTCCATTGTATAGAAATACCACACTTTTTTATCCATTCCTCAGTTGATGGACACTTGGGTTGTTTCCAAGATCTGGCAATTACAAATTGTGCTGCTATTAACATAGGTGCACATATATCACTGTGGTATGATGCTTTCAGTTCTTCTGGGAATATGCCTAGAAGTGGAATAGCTGGAACAAATTGGACTTCCAATCCCAGCTTTTTGAGTAATCTCTAGACTGACCTCCACAAAGGTTGTACCAGTCTACACTCCTACCAACAGTGTAGGAGAGAGTTCCTTTTTCCTCACAGCCTCTCCAGCATTTGTTGTTGTTGGTTTTCTTGATCCTGGCCATTCTTTCAGGAGTGAGACGGAATCTCAGTGTGTCAACTCTTCTATTATGTCTTTCTGGTCACATACTGTCATTTATTTTGAGAAAATACCTGCAAGTGGAAATGCTGGATAATACAGTGGCTACAACCTTAAGTAAAAAGTAGACAAACTATTTTCTCATGTGCAAATTTCTTTTGTTTCAACTGTGCGTACCTTTTGGTTTAATGAGATTGGTTAGATATAGGCAATTTGGGCTGGGGATTTAGCTCAGCAGCATAAGCACCTGCCTTGCAAGCAGGCGGTCATGAGCTCAATCCCGGGTACTGATAAAAAAAAAAAAAAAAAAAAAAAAAAAAAAAAAAAAAGAAAGAAAGAAAGAAAGAAAGAAAGAAAGAAAGAAAGAAATAGGCAATTTGGGCTGATCCTACGCTATGTAGCCTAGACTTGCCTTGAAGTCAGGGTCAGTCTCCTTCATCAGCCTGCCAAGTGCTGGGATTATGGATGTTCACTGCCACCCTGATTAACATGGAAATCTTGAACTTTAATCAGCTATCTGTGAGTGTTGCTGCTAGCTTATGTCATAGCCAATACTTTTTTACATTTGTTTGGTTTACTTTTATAAATTCTAATCTGTATGTATTAGCATATAATGGTATTTGATTGATTTCTTATTTCATAGTGAACATGAGGTATATATATATATATATATATATATATATATATTAGATAGACATTATATATATATTAGATATTCACAATCTTAATATTTACTTATGTGTCTTCTTTGGAAGTGTTTGATTAAATTCTTTTACCCATTTTCTTATTGTTTGAATTCCTATTATTGGATTGTACCTAAATATTATCCTAGATGCATACCATTTATAGCTGTGAAACCTCTATCAAATGTGTTCTGCAAATATTTTATTCCAATTTTTGACTTGTTCAGCTTTTTCTCAATG